ATACATGTAAGAAAGGCTACACCATAATTGGAAATGGTTGAATAAGCTGAAAATGATGATGATAAATGGTTTTATGTTGATATTATCTATTCGATGATTATTATAGTGATTTTTTTTCACTATAGGGGACCGGAAACACTGCGACCTGTGAGGCCTATTGTGTTTGTCCCCTTTCTATAACTGCACCCATTCTCCTATCCTTGTGCCCTGCACTAACTTATGCAGGTCCTTGATAGGATGGAAGCATAGTTCCTCCGGTTCTAGCCTAGCTTTCCCAAATAAAAAGTGTCGCTTGCGATCCAGAGCCTCGCAGTGACATATTATGTGCTCCGCTGTTTCAGGATCTTTAGCGCAAAGTCTGCAGCAAAGACTTCCTTGATACAGATTGAGCTTGTTCAGGTAACACTTGACAGCCATATGTCCTGTCAAGAGGACTGTTGTAATCCGCAATTTATTCCTGCTAAGCATTAGCAGTTCTTTTGCGGTTTTGGAGCTAGGTCCTTGGATAAAAGCCTTGCTGTGCCTGTGCCCGTGTCGGTTTCTCCAGTGGACATTCTGCTTTTTCCTGATCCAGAGTTTTAGTGCACTACGGGCCATACATTTGGGTATTCCCAGTACTGGCTCTGGACCAAGATAAGATGCCGATGATCCTTGCCTAGCTAGCTCATCGGCTTTTTCGTTGCCTTGGATGCCGCTGTGGCCCGGCACCTAGAATAATTTAATTCTGTTCCGTCGAGCCATAGCTTCCAGTTCACCTAGGCATTCCCAGACGAGTCTCGACGATACCTTTGGGCTCATAAGCGCCCCAAGTGCCGCCTGTCTGTTTGAGCATATATTGATGAGCTTATCTGAATAAGCTCTTCTATTGTTTTCTTTCGCACATCGTAGAATGGCGAAGATTTCTGTCTGGAATACGGTTGAGTCTTTACCCAAGGAAAACGATAAACTTACCCTTGGTCTTTCCCGAAATACTCCAGCTCCTGTTCCTTCAGCGGTCTTTGACCCGTCTGTATACCAGGTTAGTCCATCCTGAAGGAATGTTATATCTGTCCACATTCCTCGATCCATTTTGTTCACCTCGAATGGTTTGTGATAGTGATAAAGAGGGGTCATTTGGTCCGATCTTATTTGGAGTAGAGGTCCCCCGATAGGATATCCCATCTTTGAGTGTCCTGTTTCTGTCCTATTTTCCAGAGACAAGACACTTTGTTGTCGATAGAGTCTCATTTTTGCCTCCGCCTGGATCACTATGTGAAGAGGCGGAAGGTCCAGAAGCGCCTCTATTGATGCAGTGGACGTTGCAAGCAAGTCTTTGCACCTTGCTGAGGCTGAGCATTGTTGTTTGTTGCATTACCTTAGGCCACCACTCCCTTACTGTTGTGTTAAACTTACCTCTGACTAACACGACCAAATCGTCTGCATATCCCAGAGTGTTGAAACCAGCCCTGTTGAGACTATTAAGCAGTCCGTCCATAACGAGATTCCATAGCAGAGGGGAGAGAACTCCCCCCTGCGGGCATCCTTCCGCCACCCGGACCGCAACAGTCTCATTTAGTAGGGTGGTATATGCAACTCGACTTTTGAGCATGCAGTCTATCCACCTGCAGCAGGTCTCCTCTAGTCCGAGGTTCCTTGTAGCTCATGTCAGTGACTGAAATGAGATGTTATCAAACGCCCCTTCTATGTCGAGGAATGCTCCTAAAAGCACTTCTCTTGTTTCGAACGTCGACTTCACTTTGCTTACTAGCTGATAGAGTGCCGATTCGGTTGATCGTCCTGCTGTATAGGCATGCTGGTAAAATGGTCTTTTCCCCATTATTTCATCCCTAACATACCTGTCCATTAGTTTCTCAAGAGCCTTTAGTACGAACGACATAAGAATGATGGGCCTAAAAGCCTTTGTCATAGACTAATCCAGACGCCCATTCTTGGGTATAAAAGTTACCCTGGTCAGCCTCCAAATTCTCGGTATATATACTAAGGCCAGACTAGCTCTTAGTAGTGTACAAAGTTTGTTCGTCAGTAGGTCTGGTCCTTTCTGGAGCATTATTGGACAAATACCGTCCGGTCCCGGTGATTTGTATGGCTCAAATGAGCTTATAGCCCATTTTATCTTTGATTGGTCAATCACCCTTTTTGAAACCTGCCAGTGTTCTCTTGAGGCTCTTCTTGTGAAGTTCTCAAGTCCACTACTCTTCCAGGTTTCTGGGGATTGCTCCAAGGTTGTTGATCTGGTAAAGTGTACCCGAAAGAGTTCGGTCAGTGTTTCTTTCATTTGTCTTTGAAAAAGCCTGGAGTATTTCATCAGAAAGGGACTAGTAAAAAATAAAAACACAAAAAATATGAAATAAACAAAAATGAACACTGAATAACAAACAAAAATACTATAAGTACATGAATACCCAATTTGATTTTTATGTAAATTAGCAAAACCAGACTCATCAATACCATTCATATGTCCAGAACCCTTCTTTTGCTTAAACTGATACGATTGAAGGACGCAACCATGCTAGATTTTAGATGCTAGATTTTGACAAAAAAAAATTGGAAGAAATGGCAAAAAACTTTTTTTTCAAACTTTTTTCCTATTTTTATTTTCTTATGATTAGCTAATTTATTAGTGCTGCGTGCTACGCAAATCGAGATAGTTTTAAAATTTATTCTAGTCCGATCATCAATTTTATTCGCTAAATACAGACTTATTACCGCTTTAGGCGAAACATTCCTTTTATTACCCCGAAACTTCCCTTGACTTTGGGAAACTTTATTTCCTTTTAGTTTCCTCAAATCTAAAACGTGAGAACTGCCGCACGTGCAGACGGGACCAGCTTGCCTTACACCATTTTCAAACTTATCCTAGGTTTCTTCAGCTTTTTTGTTAGCCTTAAGGGTTGAAACATTTGTAGAGGCATATAATATGTGATATTTATTAGCAAAGTTCATTTTGCTTGCTTTTTTAGTATTAAGTTCAAATAGTTATTTTTTATACAAGACGATAAAATGGTATTTTACGACCGAAAAGACTAATGAACAGTGCTTTCCATAAAATCAATAAAATGAGAATTATACGAAATAATGTACATATACTGATTTCTTTCGAAAATCGACAACTATGAAACTGTGATCCCTTCCCCGACACGAACGGTACATTGTAAAACAGTAAATTGTAAAGACTAACAATCCCTATAACATAGGATACAACATTTTAATGAACAGTGCTTTCCATAAAATTAACAAAATGAAAAATATACGAAATAATGTACATGTACTGATTTCTTTCGAAAATCGACAACTATGAATCTATGAACCCTTCCCCGACACGAACGGTACATTGTGAGACAGGAAATTGTAGAGACAAACAAGCCCTATAACATAGGATACAACATTTTAATGAACAGTACTTTCATTACTTTTTTTTATAAAATGAAAAATATACGAAATAATATACATGTACTGATTTCTTTCGAAAATCGACAACTATGAAACTATGAACCCTTCCCGGACACCATTGTGAGAATTAATTTCGGGAGATGATAATGCAATTTTATCGTCGTGTATAAAACAATATTTTTTTCCATAGCGAGTTACGTTTTAAAAAATATTCAGAAATTATTATTTCAAGGAATTTATTACTAGTAGAAAAATTATTGTGCTGGATTAGCGTTGGTTTCTATGTAATGTGACAAATAAATAAGCTGTCTCTTTAGTTGTCAGTTTTGAGTCAATATTTTTTAATTCTCTTTCGTGTCGATTGTTGATTGAATTGGAGCCATAAATGGCTCAAAACGAAATAAGTAAATTACCAACAGATATTCAGGCTGAGGCGACAAACGCCATATCCAAACTACTTCCATTTAAATCCCGAATAACTTATGAAAAGGAATACAAACATTTTCAAAAATGGAAGCAATTAAAAAACGTGCGAGAAGAAATAAAGTTTTTAACCTATCTTCGCTGTTAGTATCATTTAATCTACCCGTGCGGTTAAAGTACTATTTTATCTACATGTTTGATAGACATAAGGCAATTTTAACAGTTGCTATGGAAAAAATATATTTTTTATTATCAAGCTATGTGATTTACCAGGTGTTTTTCAAAAGTGGGCTCATCTTTATAACTTTTTTTTCAATCAAAATACGACATTTGGTATGTTAGTTTAGACAATGTAAAACAATATAACATAAATCAAGATTGATTGTTTCGGTCATTTCCTGTTTCGTCGGAAATGACTACAACTTTGGATTTTTATATGGTATCCACAGTATTTTTTTCACTTTATTCGATAGAAAATGACATTCTGAATAGAACAATATGTTATATGTCAACTTTTGACATTTTTGCGTGAGAAAATAGTATTTTAAATTTCAGTTTAGAGTGCCATAACAATAATTTGGTTTGAAATGCCAACTATGTGGTACCAAATAATTCATAAAAAATGTTTTTACCAAATATGCTCAACCAGCCTCGTTTCATTTGAAAAAATTCAGTTATGATTAAAAATACGATTTGGGCATCTTTTAACAGACCATAAGAAGCCACGAAAAACATTAGAGGATCAAATTTATTTTTTCAAGGCCCCTTGATTTAGAAGCAATGGTTTTAACACAGCCATAACCCTCTAGATTGATCTTTAAAATACGATTTTTTTAAGCAAAAATGTCAAAAGTTGACATGTGAGATATGTGATTCTATTTCAGAGTTTTTATTTTCTATCGAATAAAGTAAAAAAATCCGATGGTTCCATTTAAAAGTCAAAAGTTGTAGTCATTTCCGGTGAAACCGGAAGTGACCGAAAACAATTGAATACGTCAATCAATCCTAATTTATGTCAAATACTAACATACCAAATCTCGTTTTTTTATCTGAAAAAATAAAAAAGTCATAGGGTGAGACACAGCAGGTATTCAGGTATATAAGCTGAGATATATTAAGAAATCCCTAAAATTCAGTATAATCATTAAGTTTTAAGTGTTTATAAACAGGTATTTATTTTTTTTCAGTTGTATATCGTCGCATCACAGTTCACCCTGTTCAACAAGAAGTGCTTCCTCGTTACTCACCGCCTGCGTCAAGCAAAAAGTCTCTTCGGATGAAAACTTGTACGAACTGTACAAGCGACATCCTTCAGAATATGCACCGTTTCCCAAGCGCCAAAGGTAAGCAACAGAGAACAAATAATATTAGTAGTGACTTGCAAATTGTGAACCCTGTATAATTGTGTAATATAACTACTTACCTAGAAAGTCTATTTTTTATTGTAAGATTGGTCTTTGTCTCCACTTTTTATTTTTAGGTATCCATGGATGCCGCTCACTCCAGAAATCTACCGACATGACATCGACTTGAAGAGTTCGTATTTTCGTCGGAAGCCCCAAATTGATCCGAGCCGATACACCTGGATGCCTTCGGATGACGAGTCGATATCGACTTGAAGAGTTCGTATTTTCGTCGGAAGCCCCAAATTGATCCGAGCCGATACACCTGGATGCCTTCGGATGACGAGTCGATCAGAATGGAGAAACCAAAATCAATACTGGACAGTAGAAACCAGATGCCATCCATGCAACCGAATCAAGCAGGGTGAGTATTACTACAGCAGCTCTCAACACCAATATCTAGCTTGGTAACTAGCTTTAGCTCCTAGCTTTAACCCGAAAATCTACCTTCACGACTGATGAGGTATTTTGGTGTTTTCTCATTCCCTACAGAAACTGCATTCCCCGTTGTTTTAGAGCTAGCTTCAATCTTTTAAGAACTTTTTTTAAGAACAAAGAAAGTGCATCAGATTGCGGAAATTACCGGGGAATTTCACTATTGGCTATCGGAGGAAAAATTCTTACAAAAATTATGTAAAATCGCCTTCACCCACATATAGAAAAAATCCTTTCAGATTCGCAAACGGGTTTTCGCACTAACTGTGGCACCGTCGATTCCATATTTTCCATCCACCAACTACAGGAAAAAGTAAAAGAGCAGCAGTCTAAACTTTATGTTGCATTCATCGATTTAACAAAAGCCTTCGACTCTGTAAACAGAGATGCACTTTGGGCAATTATGAAAAAGTTCGGAGTACCCAACAAATTTCTTACAGTGTGTAAAAGCCTTCATAACAACAACCAGTCAAGAGTGTCACATCATGGATCACTGAGCGATCCCTTCCTGACTAATACAGGAGTTAGGCAGGGATGTGTCTTAGAGCCTCTCCTATTCAACATATTCATGGCAGCGCTCTCCATTAAAGTGGACAGCAAACTGCAGGAGAGAGGATTAGGCATTAGATACAGATATGACGGCGGTCTCTTCAACATAAAAAGACTGAGGGCAAAAACACGTACAAAATTCATCACAGAACTTCAATACGCTGATGACTGCGCTCTAGTTGCAAACAAGTTACAACAATTACAAGAAATGTTGTAACACATATACCTGGGCATACGAGGCTTTGGGCCTTAAGCTAAACATCGACTAAACCAAAATCATGTGCATTCCCCCGGAAGATCATAACAATGCTGTAAAAATCGGAGAGGAACTATTTGAATATGTAGCGGAATTTAATTACCTAGGCAGTTTGATTTCGGAAAAGGCAAATATCGACTCTGAAATTCAGCGCCGTATTAGCAGCGTCTCAAGAGCATTCTGGAAATTAAAAGACAGGGTTTTCTACAATCATGACTTGAGTACAAAAACCGCACACCAAAATCTCTGCTTTACGGTGAGCTTGTAGACGATAAGAGGAGGCCGGGTGGACAACTCAAAAGGTACAAGGACATTTTCCACGAAAACTTAAAGGGGATTAACATGCAGAATCATTGGGAAGAAGCAGTTCACAATAGAACTCAATGGAGATGAATTGTAAACTCAGTTAACAGCGACTTTTCAGTCACAGAAAAGCTCATGAAAGAAAACGCCTTGCGTGACCATCTTTTGATGCGTGTCGAATACCCGTCAGCGAGTAATGGCAGTATGTATGTAGCTTCAATTTATTGAGGTGCTCATTGAGGAGACAGTGTCCCGTTAAAGACTCCGTGACAATCCGAAGATTGTTCTTAATTAAATCAAGGGAAATCTTTGATTTTTCTCGGTCGTAAATTCTGAGAAATGTTTTCAGTGTCATAGACCGTTTGAGGATTCTCGTTCCAGGTTACGGATGGAGTCTTCCAAGTTCTTGAGTTCCGATTTGAGTTGATTTCCACTCGGAAAGCAGAACGGTTCTAGTCCAGTTAGTTTGCTTAGTAGATTAGAGTCTTCTATCCCTTGGTGGTCTGGCATCCAGATACCCCCGCACTACGATAGACAAATTCCTTTCTCAGAATCACATAATTCACAAAATGACTTCACCAAGATTCTGATTGAGAATAGTTTAAACTTTTTAACATATTTCTAGTGTCTTAAATTTTATATTCATGTCATGATTTTTATTTAGAAAGAAGCATGTTAGTTTTGCCCGGTCCCATACCCTCACGTCATTTGATGACGCAATGTCATCATTAACGTCATCATCGAGTCATCTGAATCGAATCACAAGAAGTCAGGAAAGGTTGCTGGAAGTGAAGATAGCGGAAGACGCTATAACCAAACAACCAGAGTTGTCAGAAAACGTAGTTATTTTAGGTAAGTAGGAATGTATAGTAAATGTACCATAGAAATATACCATACGATCGAAAAAAAACGGCGTCAAAGATGGCTAGGTATGACAACACTGCAACCTAACCTAACAAAACCGGATCTTTGTACCTCTACTCATAAACAAGAAATTCAGTAAAATAGACGAAAATCACCCTGTACAGTATTGTTTTAATATCTTACTGAAATTGACGTATCGTGTTATATCCAGTACAGAAAAACATTATTTTAAATTAATTTTTCAAATCGAAAAAAAAACAGAAACGTTTTAAAAAGACAAATTACGTTTTGATCAGTTTTTAGATCTCACAGGTAATTTATTCATTCCAATTTAAAAACAACAATTTTTCCATATTCGAATCGGGAACTGGGAAAATTCTAAAACGTATTGGTTGTTGTTGTAGATAAATTTTTCATTAAAGCCATTTTAATCTGCCACTCAAAAGCAGGCAGAGCGAAAAAAGGGCATTTTTGCGGATAAATAAAACCCAATTAAGGATAATCGATAGCGTCAAAACCCTGTTTAATTCTATTTGGGTTTATTTTCGACACAAGTAATCTGAATATCGTCCCTCCATGTTACGGTTAAAGTATTGCCGTCAGAAATAATTCAGATTCTTTACATTGAAAAAACAAACTGGAGATGTAGAATGTATAAGAAGAGGTTTAATCACTGCGACCTTACAGATCTATTGTGTCTTCCTCTTTTGATTTATACCTCATGATACAGTCTGAAGTCTTTGACAAAAGCCAATACTGAGACGGTTTTACAGAGGTTAGTTCTCCATCTCCGACATTGTCGTACCAAAGTATTTTAAACGTAAACCTATTTTCCCCACAGAATCTGCATTCGCCGTTGTTTCTTAGCTTCAATCTACCGAGGTGAACATTGAGGACACAGTGTTTTGTTAAAAACCCTGTGACAATCCAATATTGTTTTTACTTAAATCAAGAAAAATCTTTGATTTTTCTCGGTCGTAAATTCTGAGAAATTTCTTCGACGGTCTTAAACCGTTGGGGGATTCCCATTTCATGTTACGGATAGAGTCTTCAAAGTTCTTAAGTACCACTCTAAGTTGCCCAAGCAGCATTTGGACGTCGGGACAACGTTGTGTCACGCGACCAAACGTCGGGGCGCAACGTCGGCACAACCTCGTGCCAACCCTAGTCTGCACTAGTTTGGAGAATAATTTTTGGGTCGAAACGACGTTGGATACCGACGTTGGCTAGAAGCCTAATTTAGTACAAACTGCAACGTTGTTTAAAATCCTAATTTACAGAAATACAAAACTAATTGGCGTCTAAGTCGCGTTTTATCCTAAATTGGGATAATTATAGTAAAAATATTATTTTTATGATTTAGTTAGAGACATAAGTCAGATGGCAGTCAAGGAAAACAAAACAAAGGTATTTAAGTGTGGAGGATGTTTGAAGATAATAATTATTGAAACACTTTAACCGACTCTGTAACTCGTTACCCAAGGCAAAAAAGTTAAACGCAAACAACTTTATTGATAAATGTATTGTTTCTACTTTGAAAAATACTAATGGGCCTTAAAATTAAAGAAGTTTCAAATATTTTCTTGAATTTTTTTTAGTAAAATGAGAATAATTTATTCGCAGTCGAAAAAATTGCTTCCGCGTGTTTTTTAGAGTCAAATATTTCAAGTTAATGTATTCAAAAAGCAGGAATTGCTATTTTAGAAACGAAACATTTTCTTATTTAACAACATGGCGACTTTAACTTTGTTGTTTTGGAGATTAAGATGGAGTCGTTCGAGTAGTCGCATACTGGACTAATAAAGTCGCAGTTCGGCCTTAACAGGTAGTATACTAGTCGCAAGATTGCCTAATTTAGTCATCCTAGACTCTAGCTTGTGCCGCCCTCTATAATCTAAATAAACCAGAGAGTGGATAAACCATAGAATAACTAACTGAAAGAAATGAAAACTCCTATGTTAAAGCCTGGAAACACGCGCTCGACGCGATCCAAGCGGGCTACTGGCAGAACTAAAAGTTCGCGCCATATTTTTAAATAGACCTTTACTGCCAGTTCATAAGTTTTTTACTTATATTTGGTAATTTCAATCTAGATTATGAATTTATTTGTAACAAAACATTTTACAAAATAAAAGTAATGTATTTTGATACAAATAAATTAATAATCTAGGTTGAAATTATCCCTGAAATTAGAATAAAACACGAAAAATCTGTAACTTTATTATTTTATTATAACATTGTTAAAATTACATAATAACACATTCAACACTATACAAGTATATATAAAAGTTATCAGAATTTATACAATCAGTTATAAGTAATTATAAAAAAGGTTATAAATTATAAATAAATAATTCATTATATAAAAGACATATAGTTACCGTGAATATAATTTGGTATAACTTTAATCTCAACTTTAATGACCTATTCAAATAGAAACATCTTACAATTCACATTATATAATACACAAAGCCAAGGGACAAAATTGTTATTAAATCTATTCTCGATGACTCGAAGCATTTTTTTTTCAAATAAAACAGGACATATAGGGCTTATAAATAATACAAGGGTATAGAAAATATATAAATAAGTAAATACAAATATATTTTCAACCTAATGATTAATGATTATACTCGTTTAAATAAATAAATGATCTTTTTAAAATTACTTGTTTGTCTTTGCAAATTTGTATATTTAATATTTATCTAAAAGCGTACACTTACATAAATTACTGCACAACCTTTAAAATTAAGCTTTTAATATGTTATACAAATTCTTGATTCGAATAAATACACTTAAATAAAACTTTAAAATTAATGATCTTCCAAATTTCTGAGACAGCCATTTTGTTGAAAGAATTTGTTTTGATTATGAGAAATTTCATAAAAATTATCACAGGGATTAATTAATCTTATATATGAAACTACTTGGCTTTTAAATTTCACAATCCTATCGTCCAAAATACTCTAAATTCGCAAAAATCCGTAAATATTCCCATAAAAACAAATCACAATTCACTTCCACTTCACAGAAACTGACAGACATTGCCAGATATGGAATGACGTTTATTTTTCAATTTATTTTACTGATCTAACTGATCCGGGTCACTTAGAAATTAAATTTTTATTAAATTATTTAATTATAATTGTTTCTGGCGAAAGCAACTTCATATCAATGTTTATTCATAGGGTAACAAAGCACATCGCTGTAAAATTATCAACATTTTATATAAATATTTATATTTTTCAACTACTCCAACTACTCCAATTACTCCACAGAGAATCAAACGAATTGTTAATTAAACTATACTCTGTGGATGACTTGATAAAATCATGATGAAATTAAAGTCCCTAGATGAATATCTAGGGACTTTAGATGAAATTTCTACGCAGCGCCATCTATCCCTCTACTGGCAGAAACTCCGCCGTGTTTCCAAAATTCAAATGGCAGTTTCATCCGCCTGGGATAAACTATCGGTAATATATGTCGATGTATATTTAAATTTAGTTTTAGATGTACCTTTCTTATGTCCCATTTTAATTAAGTTTTTTTTTATAAAAACAAAAACAGCACTGAACTGTCTGACTGAACAGAACAATGAAGTGAAAATTTAAGATTTAAGGTTATGGTTCAATACAGTTGCAAAAAGGTAGTGACTCGACGTCCTACCAACGTAAGAATAAGGAAATCTAAACAACGTTGGAATTAGTAAAACAGACGACGTTTGCATAACGTTGGAATAGGTCCTGAAACTGACGTCGGAAAACTCTATATTGTCCAACGTTGTAACTACGTTGTCCGAATCACCTAAAGATCACTTTAGCAAAAAAGGTTACAAGACTACGTTTATTTATGATGTTTTAAATAAATGATTTCAAAAAAAAAAATATTTCCAGAAATATTTCGTAAAACATTTCGGGGATAGTGTAGAGGCTTAAGATATGTTGTACGCATTTTTCGGTGGCATTGGTTGTAAATTTCGGCCTGAATGATGCTGGTGTAGGTGTCCGTTAGTTCGGAGTATTTAGTTTTCGAGTCAAATACTCCTATGCCTGGTCCTGCTTTGTTTTTGGAAGCATCTGTTAGCATAGGCCATGTTGGCAGCACTTTATTTACTTTTCAGTGTAAAGAGTATTTAGTTAATGTCATCTTAACTTGTTATACAGTGTGTGTTTTTAATTAAAGCTTCTAATCATGTAATCTAAAATGTAAAGTATGATTGCACTAATATCATAAAATGATATTTTTTCAAATAATAAAGTGAATATTTAAGCTTAAAGTTTTTTCCTTTTGTTAAAAGTGAAAATCAAAACTGGCCACTAGTAATTCAAGTTCCTTTTTTTTTTCTTTCAGATAAAATCAAGAGGGCTCCCATGAAAACCCAGGCAACGCAGACAGACGTAGGGCTAGGCAGGAAACCAATTACCCCCGGGAACCTTCATCTAAGTCCTAGAACTATCCAGAAAGTAAGTTTAAGTTTTACCGTATTACTTTGCAATGAACCGACAATTAATGATTATGATGGCACATATTGGGCCAAAACTAAGTGCATCATGAGTTATGGTTTGAAATTCCTTTTTAAATTATTAAAGTTTCCTGTTTAAAAGTAGTAGATAATGTTTTATATAAGTTGTGTGGAACTTTCATTGTTTTTATTTATTTACACGACTATTACTAATTCAAATACGAGTTTAAAAATAATAAATTTAATAATGGTATCTCCGAAACAAAACGTCAAACTAAATATCTAATTTCTTGAAAAAAATTCTATATTTTTACCACTGGAAAAGAAATCTACAAAATAAAGGTTGTTATCGTAAACACCATTAATTTGAATCTCAGTTGTCGGTGGCTTTTTCACTAGTAACCAAATTTGTCTTACCGACAAAAAGCGCTTAAATTTTCAGTATAGGCTTGGTGCATTTCAGTTGATTTCAAAAAATTCCGACCGCAGCGCTCTCTACGGCAGAAATCAGAAATTTTCGCTATATATTTCAGGCCGCGCCCCGCCGTTCCGGTTACAGTTCATATTATTCCTATCGAAAAATTTTGTTAAAGCTGAAATAGCTCAAGTTATGCCCCCACTAGCAAAACCGGTGTAACAGATTATTTCCTTTATACCGTATGATCGAAAAAAAACGGCGTCCAGTTGGCTTGGAAATGACGATCGATGACATTTCCCATATAATTTCACATATAAAATGACAGCGATCTTCATTTCATAGCCATCGCTGACGCCGTTTTTAGTCGATCATACGGTATTATTATTTATATTATTAACAGATTATGTCCTATGTCCTTTACGTTCAAGTCGATGTTTTCGGTTGTTAGTTTCGGGAGAGGATCTTTTTAACAGGAAGTAATAAAACAAACATCTTTCAAACGTGATTGATATTTTTAAATTCCCAAACTTATAGAAGGACAAAGCAAATAAACTGTAGAACTTAGAAGTAAACAGAAAAATTGTAAAGATAGACCTTAGATAAAAACGCTGGGACGTTGTAAAACCAATAACCACCCTTAATAACATGTTTAACTATCGCCGGATATTTGTAAAGGATCTGTGAACTTTAGAAAAGCACGTACCTAGATGTAAATGGCGCCAAACGAGAATTAAATACGTAAAATGGTCATAGTACTGCCATCTAACAACGGGAGGTCGAACCAACTTGATTTGGAGGGCGGTGTCAAGCTGACCAATGAAACAAAGAACAGTACCTTTAGGGATGATCCTATTGGCTAAATACCGAATGCACCACCCTTCAACTCTGTAATGTTGGAACCTCGGGGCTGTTTTTAGGTAGAAAATTTAGTTCGGTTTGAGTTTCTAAAAGAGACGGTTCTCCCTCGGGTTCGCGAAACTCGGTAAAGTTCACGATGTGACCCCCTGTAGTTTTTAAGTCTGGTGTCTGCTAATAGTTGTTGTTTTTAAGTCCTTTTATCAAATATTCTTAATTTCTGTTTTATTATCCTTCTTTGAAATTATTTTAATGTGTCGCATTAATAGCAGACACCAGAAAATTTTCTTGTATTTTTCCATCTCTTTTCTATTTTTAGTAGTAACAAGTAACTTCGATCATATATATATTTTTGTTGTTCTTTAATTTTTTGATATTAAATTTAAATGTTTTCCTACAAACTCGGCTGTTTTATTTCTATGGTAAAAAAATAACAAAGTGTTCAAAAAGTCCATATAAGTAAGATCATTATGAACGAGCAGAATATCTCCAGAGCAGTTCAGAAAAGACTCGAGAAAGGGGCTACAGATTTACACACAGAGGTTATCCAAGTTTGCCTTCCGCTCAATTTAATTGTTTTTTTATAATTATAAAATAGTCACGCTGCCCATAGACAAGTGATTAATCCGAAAAGATTTGTCACACCGGTGCGTAAAATTATTGTATTGTATTTGACTAAGAGTGGGTCCCATAGGGGACCCTCCACTGAGGCCACGAGGGCCTATTGTGGCTCACTTTCTACAAGCTCTAATTTACAAGAGCGTCAAAGTTCATTCTCAAGACCCAGCCTCTTAATATAAGCCGTTATGTCTGAGGGCGATATGTCTCCTAGGTCTGATAGGTCTAGCATGGGTTTGTCAAATATCTCAAACCTGGTCCTGCTCCCAGCGGGGCAGGTACACATAACGTGCTTCATTGTTTCATCATCTTCCATACAGAGTCGGCATTCGGCGTCTTCCACCAGTCCCGTCCTCTGTAGGTGAGATCTCAGCCGGCAGTGGCCCGTGTACACTGCAGTGAGCACACGCGTTCCATTCCTACCGGCCTTTAGGAGTTCTCCTGTTCTATGTTTGGATGGCCCTGCTAGGATTTTCTTGGCATGTTCCATTCCGGGACTGCCATTCCAGTCTCGTCATTCCAGTCGCGTAAAATTATGCTCGCTACCGTAGTTGAACTCATTTAAAAAGTTTTATTAGCTTCATTAATAAATTATAATACAAGTTAGACCTTGTAAAGAAATCAAAATATTTAGTTTTTATTTTCTTTTTTTAGAATTTTCACAAATTATACTTTCCAACACTTTTAGAATAATTATAGGCTGTACTTAAACTGCCGTTAAACGGTAGCTTACTAAAATGCCGTTAATAGGTATGACGTCGTTGATGTGACGCACTTGACGGCTTTATGAAATATAGGAATTTTATAAGGACTAACCAACGGTATCCACCCCACCAAATAACCAACTTAACCAACGCAAGTAACCTCGACACTGATAAAAAATATAAAAAACAAATATAAATTAGTAAAAATCAACCAACCCCTCCAAATAACCAACTAACCAATGAATTAACACCCTCCAAATAACCACGCTAACCAACCCGCCAAATAACTAAACCACCAATCCAACTAAAAAGAGTGAAACCAATGCAATAAGATTACGCTATATGCAAAAAAAATATAAAAAAGTCTTGGTCGGCGTGAGATTTGAACCACGGACCATTCGCTTACGAAGCGATAGCCTCAGCCACTGACCCACAGGTGCTCTTGCAGAATGCTTAAGACCAGGCATTACTTTCCGCCGACATGAACGACGTCACAATATCTATTAACGGCATTTTAGTAGGCTACCCTTTAACGGCTGTTTAAGTACATCGATAATTATATAACTTTTTTTCGTATACTCGCTATTTATACCCGTGTATTTGTATATACTGATTGTTGACGATATTTTCCGATAGTGGCAGTACCGAGGGAGAATGCACCAAAAACCTATAAATATCAACAAGGATTTCAGGGTTATATCATCTCGCGTCGTTAGAAGCAAAAAAACAAAAAGGATAAATAATATATTTAAAATATTTCAATAAAAACTATTCAATATAGACATTGTATAAATTGTATAAATCTAATAGCATCAAATTGTAAAAGCAGGAAAAGTTACAACGGAAATGTGAAAATAAATTGTCATATATTTTCAAACAGAAAAATAAACGATATAATTTAATCATATTTGTATCTCTTCTGGTTTACGAGATTCATATAGTGTGCATTCTAATCTGAGACACAATTATAATCAAACAGATAAATACAAATTTACGATAAAAACCTATTGCGGCAAAAGACTGAAAGTAGCGGTCTTTATTCATACAATTTAATTTATTGGACATTTTTATTCTTTCCAGGTAAAAATGGTATCTCAAGCGGCCCAAACGAATGGATATAACGGCAGAAAACTCGCTAAATCCTTATCAGAAGCTGGAAACAAGTTGGCCATGTCGCCTAAAAATGAATTCAGTTTTTTCGATCCTGCATCAGAGCATGAGCCCCTTCAAAGGTAAGCAGTTCTTTTTTATTGGCATTATAAAGTACATTGACATTACTTGACGTCATTTGTAAAAGTAAATTCAATACGTCTCAATATTTACAATAAAGAGTACAAAATGCATTCGGAAGTATAAGAAGAAAGTTCAAAGAGCTATAAATAAAATTGAGCGAAAAATAAATTTCTACAAACTAACATTAGAAACTAGTTTGTAGAAGTTGATTTATTTATAAGAACTACGATTAATATTATGCATATTATTAGATCGCTCACTGAGATTCCAAATTCACAATAAAAAAAGTTAAAAATAATATCTTTAAATTGCCGACTTTGGATATTATTTATTTGAATCTTCCAATTGACTCGTTTTTCCTTATTCAATGTTAATTAGCGCTAATCAATATTGTTGCTATGAATATAATCAGATTAAATAATTTAAAAAACCAGACTTGAAATTATTTTAAATAATAATTAAAAAGTTTTATTGTTAGGTATCCAAAAACCAGAAAAAGTATATAGTGTGGCATATCACTGTAGGTACTCAGGATACCGAGTTCTTTCAAAATCGAAATAAAAAATGCAGGTCCGTATTTAAACAAGTTAATTTGGGCTCTGTATCTCACGAATTATTAGCTAATTTCAAAATTTAAAAATACTATCATATAGCTCTAATAAAGTGGCTATGAGAATTTGCAATTAGTTTTTTGATTTTCCAAAAAGTAACAACAGGAAAAAATTAAATTTATTTTCAAAAAAATCCGTTTTTTCCAAAAAACTCAGCAATTCTTTTAAACTTTTTTGATGGCATCTTGGTGAACATCCCAAAGCGCAACTTTGCACCAAATTAACCATGTTCGTATCTATTACGGTTACCGGGATACCAATGCTCGTACCTCGAATTTGTAGCACCCTGTATAAGCATTTTTAAAAAGTAATAAAAAAATATATTTCAATCAACTCATATCTCTATAGACCGTCATATTTTACGAAGTTTCATCGAAAAAATCGAACATTTTTTCGAACCTTTATCGCAACTTATAAATATTTAAATAGTCTAGGGGTAGGTTTGGGAGATTGGTGAATTTCTGGAGATGGGTGATAAACGATAAGAGAGTTTACTATACCTTATCCTGAAGTGTCTATATGAATAAATTATCTTCAAAGCTTATCTCTCAAAATCCCGCTTGTTGCTGAACTTTACCACTGGTTTAATAAGTTATAAGTTCGTTTAATAACTTCACCCCACTTTGTACAATTTAGTTTTGGAAATATGTTGTATACATAATGGGTTTAATCTTTAGATTTAACACTAATTAAAAAGTCTAAAGAAATAGTCCTAAAAATCAAAACACTTTTCTATGGTAAAATATTGTAGTGTAACAACCCAAGTTCGTCAACAAAGCTGAAGAGGTAATATTTTGGCCAACTGTATAACAAACAATTTAAATAAAAGAAAGGAACCCACGTTGTGTTAAATATTTTTTTAATGTGATTACCTCGGATGCGCTTTTTTTTGGGGAAATTTTGGGAAATTTGAGGAGAATAGGTCATGTAAATGAAACGCTAAATTTGTAAATAGCCCTACTTATTTTATTACATGAAATAAATGGAGTGCCGTACTCTGCCTGGAATTCACGAGTAAAAGAGCACGGCAGAGAATACCCCGATCACTATTCCAGAGAATCTAACTATGCTACCCTGAACGTTAATAAAAGAGAAATAATAATAATAATATAGAAACTGTCCTCATACCTAGGTTTATAGTTTAATACATTCAAAACATGCCACATTTATATCGTTCAAAACTGAAGAGAGTTAGTTTAACGGGTCCCCACCCGTAGGTATGAAGTCCCTGGTTGCGGAGATCGAAGCTAAAGTTGAAGGTCTGGTGCAAATATCTTTAGATTATAAGTTACTCTATTTACTGTTTCTGGTTGCCCTTTTGGGAGCTAAGATATTCGCCCATGCACGGATGAAAGGAAAATGCACGGAAAACTGAACCACAAACATCGACACGAAGGAACAGTTAACGATTGTATTTAGATTTCCTTTAAACTGAAATTATTCACAGCATAATTGATTCCATTAAAACATACACATGTTATATATTTTATACACATTTTATATATATTTGTTAGATCAAATAAATTAAGAAAAGCTTTAGAACAGAATCACAACAGAAAAAATGAAATATATTCTTTAGTTAACAATAGTTAAATAATAAAAAAACATTTACTTTACCTTTAATAACATTCTTTGTCACAAAACTTACGAAGCAGAATAACATCAATGCATCTGGAATGGTAGTCTAAAAGCTATTATTTAACAACTATCATCACTGTTCGTCGCCTGATTTCCCTCTCACTAGTTTGCAAATAATATTTTAAAAATCAATAATTTTATTTATGTATACAGAGTGTCTTAAAACTGAATGTTCTGAATTTAAAGGAATATGCCTATTTTTATATAGGCGGTTTATCTCAAAATTTTTTTTTACTCTTTTATAGACGATTATTATTAATTTTGATTACCGTCATATTTTTTGATGTATTAAAATGTTAAAAAAGCACAAAAATTATTTAGTTCAATGGTACGGAAAGGTTACAGCAAAAATATTATGTTAATTAAATTAATAATAATCTTCACAAAAAAATGGAAGAAAACAACTATATTTTCATATTATTTGATTTTTTCTGTAAAAAAGACAGGTAGAGGTTTGGAAAAGTTTGAAGAATGTAGAATGTAAGGAAGAGGGTTAATCACCGCGACCTTACAGATCTATTGTGTCTCCCTTTCTTGAGATATAACTAATCATACAGTTTCAGGGCTTTGATAAAAGCCAGTATCGGAGACGGCTTCACAGAGGCTAGTTCTCCGTCTCCGATATCAGCCGTACCAAAGTTTATGGCATGAATGGTTGTCGTCTCGGCGCACTCAGTGATGAGGTGTTCTGGAGTTTCCGCATTTTCCTCATAGAATCTGCATTCACAGTTGTTTCTTAGCTTCAATCTACTGAATTGTTCGTTGAGGAGATGTGTCTTGTTAAAAATCCCATGACAATCGGAAGATTGTAGTAGTTTAATGTAGTAGTTTAATACTTTTAATAAGGCCTTTCTTCCATATGTTTCCCAGGTTACCGATAGGATTGGTAAAGTTCTCAAGAAACATAACATCAAAACAATATACAAACCCACCCGGAAAATAAAGGACTGCTTGAGACCAGCCAAAGACAAAAGGGAACCATTATCCTCTGCAGGGATCTACCGTATACCGTATTCCTGCGGTAGCGTATATATTGGAACTACCAGATGCTCTTAGGAACGAGACTCACGGAACACAATAGAAGCTGTAGGTTAGGGCAAACAGACAAGTCGGCCGTAGCAGAACATGCTCTAAGAGATGGTGACCACAAAATTCAGTTCGAAGACACCCAAGTCATTGCCACGACATCTGGATATCATCCTCGTCCGGTCAGGGAAGCTGTTGAAATTCACAAACATCCAAATAATTTCAACAGAAAGGAAGAAACTTTCTACCTAAACAGAATTTGGCATCCAGCTATATCTAGGACCAAGGTAGCAGCACAGAGAAGTAGACAAGTTCCGGAAGAACCACTACCCGAACAAGCCACGTCCCCTCCGGCGACGCATAAATACGCACTACGCCGACGCAGAGGTATCAGTCTAGTGTGAGCAGTCGGAGCAAACACACCTCTGAAGATGCTAGCCACTCGTGCTAGCGAAACGTGAGGAAGCAATTCTAACCGACGACGGCCTAATAACCTGATAAACCAAATTTCTTCAATCGGAAGATTGTTCTTACTTAAATTAAAGAAAATCTTTCATTTTTCTCGGTCGTAAGTTCTGACAATATCCTTCGAGTGTCTTAGACCGGTGGAGGATTCTTATTCCAGGTTACGGATAGAATCTTAGTAGAAGAACGAGCTGAGAGATACAATACAAAATACTGCAAGAGCAAATTTGATACACAAATGGCAAGAAGAGTGGATGCAAGGAAAATCTGGTTGGTGGACCTACAAGCTTATGGGAATTTCAGCCATGGGTCGAGAGAAGGAATGCAGACGTAGATTACTACCTCAGTCAAGCACTATCGGGACATGTATGTTTTCGAAGATATCTCTATGAAAGAACTCTCTCTAGAACAGACGAATGTTTATATTGTACTGAAATTGATGATGTAGAAAACACCCTTTTTAAATGTTCTAAATGGGAGGAATATAGACGCGCGTATATGAAAGAATATCAAAAGTTTCATTCAATGTAGAAAACATCCCATACAGCATATCAAATCACATTTACGATGTGTTTACATTATTAGATGTAGACACAGGGTAACACAATTCCCCCGATGTAAATATGCTACGTTTACCCATTGTAGTTCAACACGTATGCACAAAGGTTAAACGTCCGCCTCACAATGTAGCCACAGTATATCATTTACGTATACACAAAGTAAGGGATACACAGTGCTTGTGTATTACGTTTAAACTCTGTTTACACGTTGCAGTTGTGACTACTGCGTTTATACGTATGTATTTTGCTTCGTATATACATCTTGTGCTAGATAAAACTACTTCTTATGAACGAATTTAGGAAATAATACAAGTTTTGATGCCTAACTTTTCGTTCTTTTTAATAAATATTTATTCAATGATACCAATTATATCTTTTTAGAACGAAAATTAGGAAGGCAAAACTTTGTATTTTCCAAAAGTATCTCGATCGTAAGTTCAAGAGAGGTAGCCTTAAAATTGTTCCATTTTTGTTTTGTATTAAATGTACCATTTTTTTTCATAAAATGGATTAAGTGGTTAAAAATAAAATTCTTATATTTCTTTATATCATGGAACGCAATAGCGTAAATAACACAATAATAATAATTATTTACACTGCAGAAACCAGAAGTAAGAAAACACTGTAAAAGAACAGAATTTGTATCAAAATGTATTAAAAATATAAGTACCTAGTATAATATATAATATAACAACATAC